AAACAATTCTCATTTTATTTTAAAGACCTATATATTTCTAAATATGATTGTGTAATGATGGATACGCTCAGAGCTGCCTTTCCCGTATACACTTGGAAGCTTTGAGGGCCTGCTACAGGGCCTATATGACTCATTGTTTAAGAGCTTGTGCTGTGAGATGAGTCCCTTAGCTGCAGAGCAAGAAGAGATGATAACTCTGCATGTACAAAAGGGAGCAACCCTCCCTCTCACCTTAGTCTTGGCTCTAATTCTTCCATGTGGGAAGTAACGCATTCTCTGTCCAGACTTGTGTAAAAGCGGGGAGCGGCAAGGCAGTACATTCTTCCACCCTACCATTACTCCCCAGTTGGCATGTGGCCTCAACTAATCAATTAATTTGCCCCTGGGTTCTCATCTATCTTTTGTGCTTTCTGTTCTTTCTTGATTAGACTATCCAGCAAGGTTGTTGTAGCAGATGTGTCCAGATTTAGATGGAATTTTGTGAGTTCAACAGGTCCAAAGATCATGAATCTCATAAGAACTGTTGGTTGTAGCCCCAGGAGCTCTTGAAGGAAAAAGTGGCTGAGTACAAAGTTCAAAGACAATTTAAGTTTGTAAAATAGAATCATGATGCAGAGCCAAGATGAAGTATAAAATGCTTAATCAAGAATCCCACAAACTACATTACTTCCTGATGAAGTTTAAATATTATTCTCCCCACAAATAGTAACTGTAATTTTAAGTTGTTAATGAATCCTGGTTTAAGTTGTTGGTTTTTTTTGAATGTGTGCTTGTCTAGTGTTCTGTGTTTAGCATTCCATGTATGTGTAGAAACACATTATCTGTCCTATCCCTGATTCATATTATACATTGAATACCTTTTCAACTTCCTCCTTTTTAAGCAGACCCTAGACATTAGCCCTAAGTAAAATTGTCCTTTGAATGGCAGGGTTGGGGACTTAATGAACCAAAGAGTGTGAGAAAAGGGAATATCTTCTCATTAGAGGCCAACCTCTCCAGGCCTGAACTGGTTCCAAATCACATGCCTGGGTATTGAACAGGAAGTGGAGACAGTATCCCCCAACCCTTGTGATGACATCACCATAGTTCATGGTTAGAAATGGTTAAGGAGCACTATTGTTGCATATAAATGTGATCCCTTTAGGCTTGCTCCATCTGAACAGCAGTAGTAAATAGACTATACATTGAAATAAGCGTTTGCATCTAAAAATCTGATGTTCTGCCTGTAGGTGAATGAAGAGTTCTCTGAATCATCGAACAAAATGATACAGAATTTGCTCCCATTTGTAAGCTTTCATTTATGTGAAGTGGGGTTGTTCTGTTGTAGCTGTTATAAAATATTGATCTTGGTTAGTAGTTAAAAAAGAATTATGAAGAATGATATCTTCAGTGATACCACCAATGAGAATGTTTGTGATGAGAAGCAAGCCCACCAGTCTAATGAACGCTATTATTCTGAATATATTTTTTAAATGTATAAATTTAGTAAGGGAGATGGGTCCGAGCATGGGCACTGGCCACTTTTGAGAGGATCCAGGGTCAGGCCCCTTGATAAAGCTGAGCATATATTTAGGACTCTTTCAGGAATACTGGTACTCTGGCTAGTGGATGATTGATTCCTCAGCTTTCCTAGCTCCCTGCACCTTACATATTGGAGCTATTTGGGAATCTGAAGATTTTTTTTTTCAGGTTTGCCTCCTAATGGGAGGAGGAGGCAAGCTAAGTGGCACATTGAATAGAGTGCTAGGCCTGGAATCAGGGAGACCTGGGTTCAAACCCAGCCTCAGACTCTTACTAGTTATATGAACCTAGTCACTTAACTTCTGTTTGACTCAGTTTTCTCAACTGTGAAATGGGGATGATAACAAAATGTAACTTACAGAGGTGTTGTGAGTATCAAATGAAATCATATTTGTGCTCTCTGTCTCTTTCTCTGTGTCTGTCTGTTTCTGTCTGTCTGTCTCTCTCTGTTTCTCTGTCTCTGTCTCTTTCTCTATTATATATATTTAAATATATATTTAATTGGAAGGCTCACATTGCCAAAATTTTTCTTTTTTTTCCCCCTCCCATTTTTCTTTTTTTTTTTCTCTTTAGAACTTGAACATATTACTGATCCAGAGCTGGGGGGAGGTGGAAAGAAGGTCTCTTGTGGAAGGTGGAGCTTGAGCTGAGTTGCAGGAAACCAGAGTTTCCAAGAGGCAGATGTAATGCGAGAGTGTTATCCATCAGGGATGTTCCATATCTGATTGGCCCACCAAGAGGCACTCTTAACTTGAGCCACCAGCTCACAGACCTTGAAAAGTACTTTCTCCTGTACATGTCCAAGATGGTCCTTTCCTAAGAGGCTGTCACATTGTTCACCAGAAGGTGCTCAGCCTGCATGAAACTTTAATGGGGCTTCTCCCCCACACCCCACAATTTTGTACTGCTAAACAGCTTGGATTAACTCCTCACTGGTTGATACTGATCTAGGTTAGAGAATGTAATGGAATATTGCTCAAAATATTATATAACCCCTGTCCCAAAGTCCATTAGTATGGGACTCTCTCTTTATTGATGGAAATAAATGCGCAAAGTCTGAGTTGAGACAGGTACTCCTGTGCTTCAAGTATCAATATAATCCACAGGGCTCAGTCTCAGCAGGTTCCAAGCCCTCTCAAGTGTGGGCCATAGAAGCAAAGCAGGATAATAGCACCGTCAGTGCTGAGCTGCAGTCACGTAACCTAAGATGATCAGGATACATAAAGTGACAAGCTTGGGATATAATACCTGCTCACTTCAGACTGTGCAGGGGCTTACAAAAGGATAAAAGCAAGAAGTTCCAATGAACACCACATATAGAAACCCCAACTGTTTATCATCTGCACTGAATCCTAGGTATTTTACTTTGGGAACTCCCCAGTACAACAAGAGTGGAAAGTTGAGGCTAGAATTAAGTAAGAGGACAGGTGTATTCTCATTGCATGAGTGGGATGTGAGATGTGACTAAGGTTCATCCCACAGAGTCTAGCTCACTGATTTCTGACCATTCAGAGAAAGATGTAGGAGGATTTCTTTGTCTAAGATTGAAGACCCCTGAAATCATCTCAAAGAAACGTTGATTAATGGCATCATCGTAGAATCTAGCAGCCCTTATGCATTACTCATAGTACTAGTGACTAATAAAAATGGAAAGATGTCTTGATTGCCTAACTTTGAACAAAAGGACTAGAGTGGACAATACACTATGCTGCAGGTACAAGATGCCCTGAATTGTTTGCTAGGCAGCTAGATGTTTTTAGTCTAGACTTGTGTAGTGAATACTACCAGATTTCTATGCCTGAGGAAGACAAGGAAAAGACTTCTGTCATCATTCAAAGTACTCACAGTTTAGCCAACCAATGGAGAGCTAACCCTTGCAAAGTAACTGAGAGACTGGGCAACTTGCCGGTCTACAAAATAATCCCTAAGAATGGATGGGACTCTATCAGGACTATTCACAGTATCTACTTATTGCTAATAGGAGAATTAGTTGGACTTTCTAATGAGCAAGAGGAGAGAACTGATGGCTACTCACCTAGAAAAAGACTGAGAAAAGGGACTTCCATGAGCTTTACAAAGACCTTCTGATGCACATATGGGCACTGAAAGTGATCCATAAGGTGAAGGAAAATGTGTGTATTATTACAGAGCAGGAGACCTAAACCCAGAGGCAGTTCCCTTCTGGCCCAAAATTACTGCAGAGACTCATAGGGTACAGATTCAACTCACAGAGGTAAAAAAATACTGATAGCCAACCTGGCATGGCTGCCAACTCAAGCGTAGATGCACAAGTCTATAATGATGCTGATGCTCAGCTCACGTAAACTACTAGCTCAGGTACAGAAGGAAGAAAATCAGTCAATGACAGAAGAACTAGGCCTACTAGGCCAGTCACTAAGCTAAGTTATGGTGTCACAAGTAAACCCGAAGATGTAGTTACACATGTCTCTAGGTGACAATGCTAGAGATTGCCCAAGTGAAATGCGCCTTACCTGTAATTGCATATATTTTGCATGTAAATTGCTGCATGTTTAAGTATGCTTGTTTTTATTTTGCTGTTATGTTCATTTTACTATGTTTTATATTGTTTATACTATAGCAATGTCAGTTAAATATTATATGTAGATGCTACATCTTATAGTTAAGTTGTATTTTACACATAGGCCTATTAATATTGTTTCAGCTAGGGGCAGCTAGAGGACACAGTGGATAGAACACCAGCCCTAAAGTCAGGAGGACCTGAGTTCAAATCTGGCCTCAGATCAAACACTTGACCCTTACTAGCTGTGTGACCCTGGGCAAGTCACTTAACCCCAATTACCTAAAAAAACCCATACATATATATATTATATATATATATATATACACACACACACACACATATATATATTTATATATATATATATACACACATATATATATTATATATATATATGTATGTGTATATATATATATATATGTATGTGTATATATATAGTTTCAGCTAGCTAGCTTTGCTTTGTTAGTTAACCATGCTTACTACTTTTAATTGATTGCTAAGTATTATGGACATACATGTACTTTTGAAATGTGCATGTGTTATGTGCTATATGTAGTTAGGCATGTTGTCACTGTAGTATCCTCACAGAGGATTATATTCTGTATAGTGCCATGTCTATAGTCTGCAAGTACTGTTAGTATGCATTTATTTTATTTTAGTTTCAATGAGTACTTAAGATTGGTTATCTGGGATGCCAGGAAAATCTTCCTTTTTTTTTTTGGCTTGGTTTTTTTTGTTTGTTTGTTTTGTTTTTGGTGAGGCAATCAGGGTTAAGTGACTTGCCCAGGGTCACACAGCTAATGAGTATCATGTGTCTCAGGCTGGATTTGAACTCAGGTCCTCCTGACTCCAGGGCCAGTGCTCTATCCACTGTGCCACCTAGCTGCTCCCCTTGTTGTTTTAAAGCACTGATGTTTGTATTTCTGCTGTTTACTTACAGGTTTTGGACTTGCCTCATCTGATATTTAAAAGGGACTGCAAAGTCTTTCAGCCAAGGTCAGGAATGTAATGCCTGACTCGAAGCCCATTGATAGAGCCCTTATTGGTAGATGAAAGCCCTGTCCTGTGTGAAGGTCAGGGAAGAGTTGGCTACTGATAGGAAGAGCTCCAGCCTTTCTCGGTCCTCTTTGGGATTCTTCAAGCTTCAAATCATCTTCAGGACTTTTCAAAAGGTGAGTTACTTTGGATGCTTCTAAGCTTCTAGCTTTGAAAGAGAAGGTAGAAGAGGCCACTCTACTCATTGCTGAAGGGAAAGACTTTAGGAAAATGTGAGAGGAGCTGGCAGCCTCCATCATGTCTGCATCCCCACCTTGTCACACTAAAGGCTTTGGGGAGTTTTTCCCTTGGGTGAGATCTAGAACTCTCTCTTCTAGTTGAGCTGCATTAACTCACTCCCAGTTCACTCTGTTTTGTTGGGTATACTTTCTCCTATGTATAATTTCTGTGATTTCTTTCTCACTATGATTCGAAAAATGGGTTTCTTTGCTATTTGCTATATGTGTTCTTTGTGAAATTGGTTTTAGGGCAAGGGGTCAAGCCTTGGCTATAGAGGTAGGAGTTCCCTTTCCTTCCCAAAAGGAAAAGGCAATCAGAAGTTAGATTGAATGTGATCACATCCCCTACACTAATAATATTTAAGGGAACAGGTAGATATAATTCTAGCCCAGTATCCCCTCCCTCTGAGAACAGAGTGGTGGCCTCTGGCTCCAACTTTCCCCTTCCCCTCCTAGCAGAAATGAAGATTTTCCTCGGAGAAAGATGGAAGGAGAAGAGGACTAGAGATGTCTATTCTGCCTCCCTTGGAGCCATGCAACAACAGCCCTCACCACAAGTGGGCCTTGCTATACATTGGGTCTTCTTTTCCTACAATTAAAATATGAAAAGTGCTGTCTATGCCTAGTTCACCCAGATTTGTTCAATTATATTAATAGATACAGAGACAGCATACTGTCATCATGATGTTTATCGTACATAGAATAAAATGAAAAGGAAAAATAAATGATTAATGTACAGAAGCATATCCCTTTAACCATCCTTTTGCTCCCCTCCTGGTTGGTCTCCCAAATCTTCAGCCACAGAGGGGAGAATTCCCAACTATATACGCAGGGGACTCATGGATGAGGAATAGGACCAAAGACAAGCAGGAAAGAAATATATCACTATTTTCAGGTAATATGATAGTTTACTTAGAGAAGTCTAATGATTCATCAAATCAATTGAAACAATTGATAATTTCAGTAAAATAGGCTATAAAATGAACTCACAAAATCACCATCTTTTCTATATGTTATTAACAAAAACCAACAAAAGGGGATAGAGAAATTCCATTTATAATATGTATATAATATATAAAATACATAAAATATCAGGGAGTCCACTTAATAGCAGTCAGCATACATACATATATACATATATATATGCATATGTGTATACACACACACACACACACACACACACACGATTTTAAGGTTTGCTAAGTGCTTTACAAATGTTATCTCATTTTATCCTCACAACAACTCTGGGAGGTCCCTATTTTACAGATGAGGAAACTGAAACTGAAAGAGGTTAAGCGAGTTGCCCAGGGTCTCATAGCGAGTTAGTATCCGAGACAGGATTTAAACTCAGGTCTTCCTGACTCTTAAGTACAGTGCTCTATCCAATTCTGATATACCAAGATATATTCAGGACTTATATGAATAAAACTACAAAATGCTCTAGCACTTAACACATTTGCTGGTACATAGTGGCACTTAATGCTTGTTGATTTGACTGATTTTACAGAAGTAAAAGAAGACATAAATAACTGGAGAACTATTAACTGCCCATGGTTGGGCCATGCCAATATGATAAAAATAATGGTACTAAGTAAGTAAATTTTCAGATTTAATGCCATACTAAATTTCCAAACATTGCTTCATAGACCTAGACAAGGTCGCAACAAAAAATTATATAGGGGAAGAAGAAATCAAGAATTTCAAATGGGGCAGCTAGGTGGTGCAGTGGATAGAGCTCTGGCCTTGGAGTCAGGAGGACCTGAGTTCAAATCCAGTCTCAGACACACAATACATGACACTTACTAGCTGTGTGACCTTGGCCAAGTCACTTAACCCTGATTGCAAAGCAAAAAAAAAAAAAAGAATTTCAAAAGAAACAATGAAAAAGTAGGAACGAATGGTCTAATAGTAGCAGTTTTTTAACTATGCTATAAAGCAGTAATCATCAGAACAATTTAGTACTGGTTAAAAAATAGAAAACCTGATTAATATCAAGTAGTTGGTATGGTGGAAAGAGTGCTGTGCCTCGAATTAGGAAAACCCAGGCCTCAGAAAAGACTCAATCAAACATACAAGGATAGTATTCAGTAATACCAAAGACACAAACTATTAGTATAAATATTCCTCTTTTTGACAAAAACTGCTGGAAAAACCAGAAAGCAATCTAGCAGAAATAGGTGACATCTTATATAACACAGCCAATTCCAAATAGATAAGTCACCAAAATAAAAGGTATCATTATTTTTTTTAATTGGAGGAGGAAATCTATGGCCAGAGGAGAAGTCTTAACTAAGTAAGGGATAGAAGTGATCATAGAAGATAAAATGAACAATTTTGATTGGACAAAATTGGAGAGATTTTGTATAAGCAAAATAAATGCAATTGGGATGAGAAGGGAAATAATGGAGAAAAATTTTCACAGCAGATTTCTCTGATAAAGGTTGAATATCTAGAAAATATAAATAATTTACTCAAATATATAAGAAAAAGAACAATTCTGTAATAGATGAATAGTCAAATGATATGATTATGCAATGCTGCAATGCTCAAATGAAGAAGCAGGAATTATCAACAACTACATGAAAACACTTATAAAAAGAAGCTGAGGGAGTATTTTGGGAAAAAGGCAGAGTAGGTTAGAAGGTTCCAGACTCTCCAGATTTCCTCCACAAACAAAACAGAACAATGTCTCAAAGTAGAGGCAAAAATAAACAAAAATGGGATAAAGCAGTTGTCCTCCTAAGATAACTTGAGAGGACCTCAGGAAAGACTTGGCCTCTAGAGGTAGAGGTTTGGACTGATTGAAGTGCGAACACCTCCAGGCTGACTCTGCTGAATCAACAAACAACAAGCCCTGGGGGAAACCTCCACCTCAGGAACTTTCATCTCATGGACTGTATGGGGGTCCCATGGCTGAGTAGGGGAAGACTGAAGGACCCTCTTCTATCTCAGAATGCCGGGTACAGCTATGCTGACCAGACAGGATCCTGGCTGCAGCCAGCAGCAAGAAGGAGTGAGCACACACCTCATGAATATGGTAGCAGAAGGACAGGGACCCTGTGGGTTGTTGGCCCTTGCAGAAGAGCAGAGTCTCAGATTTTGGTTCCAGGGCAGAGGAGAGAGCTGAACTTTTCAGAAGCAGGAGGATGGCAGGGAGCAAGAGTATTTGCAGGATAGCATGGCTGGGGGCCCTAGCTATGGCTTAGGGGGTGAAGAGGAGTGCCAGAGGTTTGGGCCCCTGGACAGAGTTCAAAAAATAACAGTAAGAAGGACCTGAGGCCTGGGGTACCATTCCCTACACCCTGGGATCAGAACCTGATTACAATAATAAGCTGCTAAAAATAAAACAAAACAAAAATTAAAAAATGAGTAAGCAGAGGAGGAAGAACCTAACCATAGATAGCTACTATGGGATAGAGAAGATCTGGGTTCATATTCATAGGAAGATAATGAAGTTAAAAAAAGCCACTTCTACCCCAAAGAGAAATGTCAAATGGTCAGAAGCCCAAAAAGAGTTCTTGTAAGAACTTAAAAAGGACTTCAAAAATCAAATAAGAAAGATTGAGGGGAAATCAGTGGGAAAAAAATAAGAGCAATCCAAGAAAATCAAGAAAATTATGAAAAGAGAGTCAATCAATTGGAAAAAGAAATCCAAGAACTTAAGGAAGAAAATAACTCCTTGAAAACTAGAATTGGGCAAGGGGAAGTGAATGACTTTATAAGATACCACAAAATAAGAAAGCAAATCAAAAGAATAAAAAAAAAAGAGAATGTGAAACATGTCATTAGAAAAATAATTGATCTGGAGAACAGATTGAGGAGAGACAATATAAGAATTGTTGGACTACCTGAAAGTTACAATAAAAAAAATCTCGATACAATATTACAAGAAATTATTAAGGAAAATTGTCCTGAAGTTCTAGAACAAGAGTGGAAAGTAGAAATAGAAAAAAATCCACTGATCACCACCTGAAAGAGATCCTAATGTGAAAACTTTTAGGAATATCAGTTTCAAAGCTGCCAGGTTAAGGGGAAAATATTACAAGCAACAGGTAAAAAAAAACGATTTAAATATTTCAGAGCTACAATCAGAATTACACAAGACCTAATAGCTTCTACAGTGAAAGACCATAGGTCTTGAAACATTGTATTTCAAGGAGCAAAAGAGCTAGGGTTGTGACCAAAAATAACTTACCCAGAAAAGTTGAGTGTAATCCTGAGCAGCAACCAACAAAATGGACATTTAACAAACTGAAAGAATTTCAGGTATTTGTAACAAAAACACCAGAGCGCAGTGGAAAATTTGTCATATAATATCCAGGAGAAATATGAGGTAAACATTAGCAACCTATTATAAGAGACTCAATAAGGTCAAACTGTTAACTTCTTATATGTGACAATGTTATCAGAATTCTTAAGACTGTCATTATTGCTTGGGTAGTTTGAAAGAAAGGTTGGGGCTGAGTTGAGTATGATGAGGTGTTTCTAAAAAAACAAAACTGGGTAGCAAAAGGTAAAAAGGAGTAATTATCTCATACAAATGAGGCGTGGAAAGGACTAACTGATACAGAGGAAAAAGGTGGGAGTGAAGTGTTGGTAGTGCTGAAACCTTATTTCATCTGATCTGAGTGAAAGAGGAAACAACATGTACATTAGAAGGGTATAAAATTTATAAAGAAATGAGTGCAAGGGGACAGGATAATGGAGGGACTTTGAAAAGGGTGTGTAGATTAAGATTTAGGAGAGTGGAGGAAGAGGATTAGGGAGGAACACAGAGGGGTGGATAGAATAAGGAATAGGAGAGTAAAGGGAGGGGATAAGGAAGGGATTTTTTTAAAGGGTGTGGATTAGGGAGGTAGTGGTTAGGAGTAAATTAGGTGCATGAAGAGGGATAGGGTAAAAAGAGAGGCTGAGAAGGACAATAATGAAAAATTGGATGGAGGGAAATACACAAATAGTAATTATAACTTTGAATGTGAATGGGAAGAACTCACCCATAAAAAGGAAACTGGTAGCAGAATGGTTTAAAAATCAGAATCTGACAATATGTTGTTTACAAGAAACACATTTAAAAATAAGAGATACACACAGAGTTAAAAAATAAAGGACTGAAGAAGAATCTTTTATGCTTCAGCTGATGTAAAAAAAAAAGCAGGAGTAGCAGTCATGATCTCAGACAAAGTTAAAGCTAAAATACATTTAATTAAAAGAGATAAACTGAAACTACATTATGATAAAAGGTACCATAGACAATGAAGCAATATCAATACTGAACCTATATGCACCATATACTATAGCATCTAAATTTTTAAAAGAAAAATTTAATGAATTACAGGTGGAAATAGACAGTAGTACTATAATAGCAGGGGACTTTAATCTTCCCCTCTCAGAACTAGATAATTCAAACCAAAAATTAAATAAGAAAGAAGTGAATAGAATTTTAAATAAGCTAGATGTGATTGATATCTGGAGAGAATTGAATGGGAATAGAAAGGAATACACCTTTTTCTCAGTGGTACATAGTACCTTTGCAAAAATTGACCATATGTTAGGGCATAAAATTTTTATAGTTAAAAGCAGAAATATTAAATGCATCCTTTTCAAATTGCAATATCATAAAAATTACATTTAACATGGAACTATGGAAATGTAGGATAAAAACTAATTGGAGACTAAACAACCTAATTT